GTGGTTGAGCTGTCAGCCAGAGCTGTGGTCTCATCTGAAGGCTTGACTAGGGGAAGATCTGCTTCTACGCTCACTCACGTAATTATTGGCAAGGTTTCGTTCTTTCTGAAGTGATGGATTCAGGGCCTTAATTCCTCACTGGCTGTTGGCTGGAGGTCTTTACAGTTCTTGGCCATTGGAACCTTTCCATAAGGCAGTTCACAAACAGGCAGCTTGTAAGCAAGAGGGAGAGAGAGACAGACAGACAGACAGACAGAAGTTAGGGGTGGAGAATAGGACCCCAAGTGTTCTTGTCACCTAATTTTGGAACCAACATCCCATATGTTTGGCAGTATTTGTTAGAACCAAGTCACTAGGTCCAGCAGCACCCAGAGGAGGGGATGACATAGGAGTGTGAACATGAGGAAGGGGGATCCTTGGGGGTCATCTGAGAGGTTGCCCAACACAGATGTCTGCAGCTTTCACCTTCACGTTTCCTGGTATTCCTTCCCCTTCACATGAAGTTCCTAAGTCAGAAGAGCTAAAGAAATCGGAACTCTGAGCCAGGAGCTCTGGTAAATGCTTCCCATAGCTCTTATGATACCAGATGTTATACTATGTGGTCATTGCTTCCTTTGATATGTGTCCACCTCCCCAATTAGACTGTGAACTCCATGAAGATGGGGACATGGCTTTGCTCACTGCAACAATCCAGAGCCTAGAGCAGTGTTTGACACAGAGCCGGTTCTCAATAAATGTTTGTCAGATAACTAAGGGAAGGAGTAAGGATCCTTTTGCTTTATACAATGACTCTAGGAGGCAGGTGCAACTATTATGCCCATTTCACAGGAAACTGAGGCTCAGACAAAGTGACTTTCTCAGCCTCACAGAGCTAGTAAGTGGTGGGACCTAGGAGTTCAAGTGTATCAAACTGCCTCAAAGCCTGTTCCCTCAGTCACTTGATGCTGTGGTCTCCTGATTTTATGTTGGGGGACGTCTGTGTGTGTGTGCGTGTGTGTGTGTCTATGTGTGTGTGTGTGTATGTGTGGTGTTTTTTGGAAGAGAAATAGTGTCTTCATCCACCACGTAGTCTCTCAGTAGGCAGCTTCCATCACCCTCCCCAGTCTGGTGTGGAGCAAGCCTTCCTTGGCTCCATCCTCAAGTGAATTTCTGTGTTCTTCACATACAAGAGAGAAGAATGGAAATCACATGAAGGAAAGAGGAGCAGGGCATTTGGAGCCCCTGTGAAACCGTGTGCCACAGAGGTGACTCCGGAGCTAGAACTTTCTTTGTTACCTCTCTGCCTGATTTTTACGAAGCTAATGAAGCAAGGAAACTTTTTGTAAATACAGTTTTTCCTTAGTCCTTTTAGTGGTTCTGCCTCTTCACTCCTCTAGATGGTTCCAACTCTTCTTCAAGTTTGAAATGGTCTTTCTGAAATGTGAAAGGCCCGAATTGTAGATGTGGAAGAAAGGTAGTGATAATGACAATAATAGAAAAACAAACCATGATAACAATCAAACTAACATTTATTGAGTGCTTACTATGTACTAGGCAAAGTTCTAAGTGCTTTCCACGTATTCGTTCATGTAAAACATCCCATAGAACCATGAAGTCAATCCTACGGATGATTTTCAAGGCAGATGTACTAGTTATCTATTGCCACATAGTGAATTACCGTGAAAGTTAGTGGCTTAAAGCAACAATACACATTCATGATCTCTGCTGGCTTCCCTGGATCAGGAATTTGGGAGTGGCTGGGTGGCTCCACCTCAGGATGTCTCATGAAGGCTGCTTTCATCTGAATGCTTGGTTGGTGCTAGAGGCTTGAACCATTCCAAGACGGTTCATTCCAATGGCCGGCAAGTTGGAAGGAAGCTCAGTTCCTCCTCATGTGGCCCTCTCTGCAGGGCTGCTCTAGTGTCCTCACCATATGGTGGCAGGCTTCCCCAGAGCCAGGCATCTAAGACCCAAGGAAGAAGCTGCTTCGACCATTGTGACTCAGCCTTAGAAGTTACCCAGAGTCACTTCCACAATACCCTAGGATGTGACAACTGGAAAGAGCACTGGAGCATATCCCAGACACTGTGCGTTTTACCCGTGATGTGGCTGGGGCCAGCTGTGTGGAGTGTTGGGAAAATGTAGGGAGCTGTAGAGCATTGTACCAGTGACCCAGAAGAACCAAATCCCTTCATCTCTCCGTCAGCAAAGGGAAGCCATGTTGAAAGCACGCATCCAAGGACAGAGTGTGTCCCTTGGTAAATAAGTAACAAACGCAATCTGGTTCTGATTTTTATTAAACCAACTGTGAAAAAGACTTGCAATTGGCCCTCTGTGACCTGAACAATTAGCATTAGAACCTATCGTGCTTTCCAGAAACTGAATGCCCTGTGTTTTTGATGGGATTCTAAAGAACTGAGAAAGAGGAGAGTAATGAAGTGTAAAGAGTGAGTTCCCCTCCGGCCCAGGCATTTATGGGGAGGAGGTTAGGAATGATTCAGTATGAAAACAACTGAACTTAAAGAGAGCTTTGCATTTGTTCAAATCATTTCAAGGACATTAGTACATTTAAAAGAAGTGAGAGAATGAGAGAGAGAGACATGTGGGAGTAAGCCAAGTACACTAAATCATTCCTGAATTTGAAGTTCATGTGCCCAAAAGGAACCTAAGGAAACAAGAATGTTGGTGGTGGGTCAGATCCGTTGTCCTATATTCCTAATGGTTGAAGGCAAGTGAGCAGCTGACAGAGAAATTACTTGCTTTCTTGGGTATCACTAGCAAAGGCTAGGGGCTTCCTGGAAAAAATGCACATACCCACCTATACCTGAAGTCTTGCACACAATTTTAGGAACTTTAAAACTCCCTGAAGCTCATGGGATAGTCACTCTACTGTTCATGGATTCCAGGATATAATCCCTGAATGCTAAATGTTGTGGAGAATTTATTTATATTTTCCATACTAGACAAACTATTTTGTAACATGGAACTTGCTAAACTTTCCTACATCACATCACATTTTCTCATTACTTTGAACTGTCATTGGTATTTTTAAATTTTGAACTGATCCACTTCAGCTGTCATGTTTCCAGATTAGAGCTGACAATTAAAACGTCACTGAATCTGAGCTTGCCTCCAGTGCATCCCCAATGTGATGTGGGATTCCTGGCTACAGTCTTCCTGATTCATCCTCCCAGCACCCACACCCTCTGAACTCCTACAAACAGGTATGACTTACATACAGTATAATTCACCCTTTTTAGGTGTGTCTTTTAGGAATGCAGTTGCATAGGTTTTGACAAATGTATAAAGTTCCCTTGTGCCCCTGTACTCACCTCTTTCCCATAGACCCATACCCCGGTAACTAGTGATCTGATTTTGGTCTCTGTGGTTTAGCTTCCCTCCTCCTCCCAGGTCTTTTTTTTTTTTTTTTAATTTTTTTAAAGATTTTTATTTATTTGACAGAGACACAGCGAGAGAGGGAACACAAGCTCGGAGAGGGAGAAAGGGAGAGGTAGGCCTCCTGCTGAGCAGGGAGCCCGATATGGGGCTCGAACCCAGGACCCTGGGATCATGACCTGAGCCGAAGGCAGAGGATTAACGACTGAGCCACCCAGGCACCCCTCCTCCCAGGTCTTCTGAATGGAATCATACAGAATATACCCTTTGGGTATATTTGAATTCTTTCTCTTAGCTTGCTTTTGGTATTTGCTCATGTTGTTCCACTAAATGATATAATACAATTTGTTTATCCATTCACCAGTGGATGGACACACGAGTTATTTCCAGGTTTTGGCAATCATATTAGTTTTTTTTCTTTTTTGGGGGGGTGAACTCGCTGGGGCAGCAGGACTACTCTGCAAACTGTGCAAAGTTACACAACTTTACACATTTAGGGAGGGTGAGGGGATGCAGAGTTGTGCACTGCATTCTTCCACCATCTAAATCCTTTGGCAGTTTTCACTAACGCTTCTTGGAGCTTCAACTGCATTCGAGCAGCTGTTCATTTTGCATCTGGGCGTAAGCCTTTACATTTTTCTTTTCCGCGAATCGGGGCCCCAACGTTCCACTGGTATGGGTATTCGAGATCCAGATGAAATAACTCTTTAAAGGTGTTAGCTTCCCTCCTCCACGTGTGGTTCTCAGATGGCAGTCTCTCGGAACCACCTCGACGCTTGTCAGAAAAGCAGAATCTCAGGCCCCACCACAGACCTACGCGGAGTCCACATTTTAACAAGAAGCCCAAGTGTGTCAGACGCATAGTAGTTTGAGAAGCACTGGTTGGTATTCCACTCTTGCTACTAAAAATAAAATGCACATTTTCTTGTAATATTTGGCCCTTTCTTCCAAACTTTTTCTGTCTCTCCCTGGAGTAAACTAATTTTGTAGTTAAGAACTCCAGCTTGGGTCTGGGGGAGGGGGTGAGCGCCCCATCCTCGAGGATGGAGGAGCTAAGAGAGGAGGAAAAAGAGAAGAGACGAGGCAGAGAACAGAGCCAGGTCTGTTGGGAAATCCTCGCAGCCCAGGCGGGAGGCGGCGAGGCCGAGGCGGCCGGGCACTCGGCGGCCGCCTCGGCGGCCCCTTT